TCCTCAAATCTAGAAACACCAAATGATGTACTAATTGGGTATGCTGATGCAGGATATTTATCTGATCCACACAAGGGTCGTTCCCAAACTGGTTATGTATTCACAGTTGGTAACACTGCAATATCGTGGAGGTCAACTAAGCAAACTCTAGTAGCCACCTCATCAAACCACTCAGAGATAATAGCTCTACATGAGGCAGTTCGCGAGTGTATATGGTTAAGAACTATCATTACACACATTCGCAGGGCTAGTGGTTTGAGACCAACCACTGAAGAACCCACATGTATTTATGAGGATAATGCCGCTTGCATCGAGCAAATGAAAATTGGATTTATCAAAGGTGATAACACCAAACATATTTCTCCCAAATTTTTCTATAATCAACAACAACAAACTCTCGTCAAGATCCAAGTAAATCAAATAAGATCTGAGGAGAATGTGGCAGATTTATTCACCAAATCATTACCTAAAGCCACATTTGAGAAACATGTTAAAAATATTGGGATGCGTAGACTTTCGGATCTTCCTTGATCATGTACACTTCAGGGGGAGATTTGAATATTCAAAGGTCTAGCTTTTATTTTATGTTACACTCTTTTCCTTAAACCAAAGTTTATTTTTCCCATTGGGTTTTGTTACTTGGTAAGGTTTTTAATGAGGTAACAATATGCATGAACATAGCGATCGAAGTAAGGATCGGTATTCTTTTCTTCGTTCAAGATTTTTATTCACAGGGTTTTGATACTTGACAAGATTTTGACAAGAGATCAAGATTCTGCAATTCTACCTACAGCTTAGCACAAGGGGGAGTGTTGAAGGAATTTTTAAATTAGTGTGCTGTTGTGTAGATAGAATTTACTTTATATTGTGTAATACAGTTGTACTGGCCCGTGGGTCTTCTCTTGTAAAACCCTAGGCCGTTTTTCCCTATATAAGGGAGCTATTATCAATAAAGAATACACATCTCCCACAACACAACTGGAGTTTTTTAACAACACCATTGGGACCTTAAAATCCCTCACGCGGTTTAAGAGGGTGTTTGGCAGTGCGTTGGTTTTAATAAATTAGCTTCTATTTTAAGTGATAGTGATTTTACTCTGTTTGGCATGTCAGCTTCTGTTTTTCATCACCACTATTTTGTATATAGAACACCGTTTTGGAGAAGCAGGTATGAAGTTCTTTTCCTTTCAGCTTTTGAAAAAATCACTTTATCCATAATATAATTACTCTCAAACACCCTCTAAGTGCTTTTGTGATTCTAAGGTACACATGTGAAATATGTATTTTCTTAAATTTTATATGAGCCGATAGTAGACTTTTTTTCACAATAGGCCCAAATTTTTTATACTATTAATATATTAAGTGTGGATCATAGGATCACGAAAGAATTTACATTGTCTAAAGAAGTTTTTTACAACTTTTTAGGACACAAAAACTCTTGCTTAAACGCTTCGAATATTTTTCTTTAGCTCAGCTATTTTTCAGAAAAACTATTTATATAAACGTTTAATATATTAGAGCACTGGAAATACTCTTGAAATCCCGGGGCTTCAAACCAGAGTTTCAAAATTTCTCTCTCTGCCACGTCAGCTTTAACTTACTTCACAGATTCAGTGGATATGGGTTTGAAGCCCCGGGGCTTCAAACCTTCATTTTTTACATTTTTAAATATACATATTCTAAATTTAAATTAATAAATTTTAATTAATTTATTATTTAAATTAATCGCAATGAGACTAGTGCATTAAAAAAATTACATTCATTAAAAAAAATATTACATTCATAAAAAATTACATTCATTAAAAAAATATTACATTCATAAAAAAAATTACATTCATTAAAAAAATATTACGTCCAAAAAAAACAACACTACAAATAAATTACTAATTATTCGAGCGACTAAAGATATGTTCGATCAAATCCGCCGTTAGTGCATTGTGAATCTCTCGGCTTTGAATTTCTTGGCGGTTTCTTCGTTTCTTTTCTTCGTTGATTTCTTTGTACATAGGCACCTCCTCAACTGGGTTGTATTGACAAATCGCAGTCCCGTTATCCTCTATGATCATATTATGAAAAATAATACATGCGTACATGATATTCCTCATTTTCGTTTGAGAAAAACATTTCGACGGTCGATCTAGAATGTGCCATTTACCCTTCAAGACCCCGAAGGCTCGTTCAATATCTTTTCTCGCCGCCTCTTGAGGTTTTTTGTAGGTCTAGCGTTTAAGACCCATTGGTTCGGAGAGGGATTTGACAATCGTGGAATAATCTGGATATATTCCATCGGCCAAATAATATCTACGCTTGTAAAGCGTCCCTCTAAGCTCAAAAGACGAGTCGAGTGCGATCTCATTAATCCAATCGTCAAAAACATGCGATTGATCGAGAACGTTGATGTTGTTTGATCCCGCGACACCGAAAAAAGCGTGCCAAATCCACAACTCATTTGAAGCAACAACTTCGAGCATGATAGTAGGCTTGGGATGATCTCCCCAAGAGAATTGACCGTGCCACGCAGTGGGACAATTTTTCCATTCCCAATGCGTGCAATCAATACTCCCAAGCATGCCGACAAAGCCGTGTTTAGCGGCATGCCTTGCCTGTAACTGCTGAATGTCGCTCGCTGTAGGCTTGCGTAAATATCTTTTATGATAAATGTAAATAATAGCTTTAGAAAATTTATAAACACAGGACCTGATGCTCCGAGCTGACATCTTCAAGTATTCGTCGAACATATCAAATGCCGTCCCGTACGCCAACTAACGGAGTGCGGCAAGGCACTTCTGGACACTAATAAACCCACGTTGGCCTCTCGCATCAAAGCGTTGGGTGAACCAAGGAACCTCGCGTTCAACATCAGCGAGTATGCATAAAAAGAGAGGACGACTTATCTGAAAACGATTACTAAAATCCTCCAGTGTATAAACACACGGAGTATTAAAGTAGTCGTTTAAAAGTGAAGCGTGGGCGGCCGCTCGATCCCAGTTTAAACATTGTCGTCGGGTCCATCGTCGGGAGGATTCAGCTTCTTCTTCTTCACCTTCTTCCCACCATTGAATACAACTCGTGGCGAAACAACGAAAAATGAGAGCTCTTTTTTCATTGTCGGATTAAGATGATCCCATTTTTAAAATATATTTTATAAATATTTATAATAAATAATAAATATTATAGAGAGAAGATAGTGAGAAATGTGTGAGAGAAAGATTTTTTTAGGGGAATTTATAGGTTTTTTTTTAAAATTTAGATTTTTTTTATTTGGGGGGGGGGGGGGGGGGGG